TCTCTTTGGTGTTTTTCTATCTTATTAAACTGTTATTTTCAGGTTTCCTACCATTTAAAGGTAATTTTGTATGTGGCCAAAATAACTCAAAATACCCGCATGACTGAGCCCCTTTGAAAACTCACGCCTTTCGTGATACATTCATTCTTTCCTTGTCCAGGATCTTCCTTTGTAGTTAGTAAGCTGTTACTCATTGGTTGTGGTTTCCTATGATTTTAAGAAAACTGTGTAAATCACAAAAACAACATTCAAAAACTATGACATAGGTGACATTGCTCCTTTAATTTGGATAAGCTTTCTTGCTTTTTAGGCGTATGCATGGGAAATTAGATGTTTTTCATGTCGAACGATTTATTTTTTAGACGAGTTCGACGTTAGATAACTACAGGGGAAAACTGGAAACAACTAAGGAGAAAAAGAAGTATTCTTTCCAGTAGATCAAAACAAACGCTTCAATGTGCACGATGAATTGAATAGAAATATGCGCGTTTTCTATTACGTAGAGTATTTACTAGGCGTGCGCGGTTAGTTTTAGAATTAGGTTGGTAAACGACCATGACTAAATTATGGAGTACGGCTCTTCGCCTACACATTTTGTTGCGTTTCGTCGCTGTTCACTGCAATACAACGGCGGAAAGTTCTGGATTTTATAAAGAAACTGGTATGTTTGTATTTGGAGTCAACCATTATTGTCTTTGTATTTTTAGTACAAAACAGATCAAGCCAGAACTAACGGCGGAAAACCCGTCTTAGGCATTCCCGTCGCGGTTGTTTAAGTTTAAAATATTTATATTCAGTATAAGATTTTAAGAATTAAGAAATGTACTGAAGTGAATTTTAGCATAGTCAAAGCGGATTGGTTTGTAAGTAAGAATAGATAGTTAAGCTGCGAGGCCGTGTCAGAATTATTTGCCACCTCTCCAAACAGTTTTGGACAAGATGGTCATTTACGCGAAGTAGGTTGGGTTTTTTCACTGAATAAAAGTGGCAACAATTTTGTTTAGTTGTTGGTGTTTGTTTTCATGATCCCTGTTTGCGCTGCAAGTTTTTGAGAAGTAAAAGTACGTTAGGCAATGAGTATGGATGACAAAGATTGTAACTCAAGGGAGATCACCTCCTTGTACGTTAAACTTAAAATTTCATGGATCAATTGCACGCGAATTGCACGCGAATTTTGCCCTGCGTAGCGGATATCAACTAAGAAATAGAAAACGTGTACCGTGTTTCTATCGAGTTTTCGTATACAGTACCGGTAAAGCTACTAGCGTTCTACCACGAATGCCGTTCTCTGATTGGCTACGCTACTCACTATCTATTCTGTGATAGATAGTGAGCAGCGCAACAGTGTGCCATTGTTAGGAAAATGACGGCCGCTTCTCGGCGTTTTCGAAGTGTCTGTGAAGAGGATTCAAATAATGTACTCGCCAACCTTTAGCCAAGTCGCGCAATTATTGTCTGTAAAATACTACAAATAACCCCCCCCCCNCCCATTAACCAGCCACCTCTATAAAGAGATAAACGAGAAACTATCAGATAATTAAAATTCAATAAAAATTAAAGGTCAACGTTGCAAATAACTCTTACTCCAGCAATGAATTTTTTTTTGAAAAGTATTTCTCCGGGAGCAAAAAGTATCTGGAAGATTGTCATCATGAAGCATTGCATTATCTTAGATTTCGCTCATTTCTTGTGTGTTGTGAGAAATTCCTGCACTTATACTAAAACCACAATCCGTTTCGGTGTTTTAGGAATTTTCGGTTTGCCCGAATAATGAAGGCGCCTGAATTGAAGGCCAACACAAACGGTCAACACAAAATGGAGGGAAAATGTGGAGACCATCGAAATTCAGCAATTTCACAGGGCCATTAATATTTCACCAAGGAGATTGTGCCATAGCGACATACTTTATTTTACTGTGCTGGTTTGATGGGAATAGAATGCCTCACTTTTTCAAAATTACAGCTTGAATTGGATCCGTTTACTCGTGTCTCGTCAAACTGTACGGTGTGGGTGTCGTTAAGGTCCCGCTGATGGCTTGATTCGAGCTCAATGTTTTTTTAAGGTGGTGTGAAACATTATGAAGACATATTACAAGTAACAGCGCTGTTTGTCTTATGCAGATATTTTAAATTCCAGTTTAATTGATCTCCGTGGGAGGCGCGCTGGCCTTATGGTTATTGCGTTCGTCGCAGGATCGCGCGGTCCGGGTTCGAGCCCTGGCCGGGGACATGCTGCTGTGTTCTTGGGCAAGACACTTTACTCTCACGGTGCCACACCCAGGTGTATAAAGGGCTACCGGCGAACTGAATGCTGGGTTATGCTGGGGGTAACCCTGCGATTGGCTAACATCCAATCCCGGAATAAGCTTCGGCCTGATGTGCTGTTGGCTCGTATGCAGACTTAGTTATCTACCTTAAAAATTTAAAAGATCTGATCGAACAGAATGTGGTTTTAGTAGAAGTACATTAATGGTTCGCAACTCGCAAGAAATGAGCGAAATGTGATCAGTTTCCAGCCACAGACTTCCGGCGCAAGTTAGCGGTCAGCAGTGTGTCAGTGAACCAAGCAACGAAGGTCAAATTATCGCCTTTGGTATGGTAAACATCGAATTGTTTAATTACAAGATCTAGCAACAATGATTTAGGCATCTGGACTCGCTTTCCTTATCAAAACAATGTACGAGAAGACGGAGATGTTTTGTCCTTTATGCTACAGTAGATATGGCACTGGATTTCCACAAAGAATTCCAAGAGATCTGGACTGCCGGCATACCTTCTGTACAGGTTAGTTCAAACGTTGTAGCTAATGGGTCGCTAGTGTGTGATTATGGAATTCAAGTAAGACGTTCGCTCAAAGAATTTAACTTTTTATGAGATAATTCTTCCTGTATTAAAAGAGATTCGTTTTCACAGTCACGGTCACCTTAGATCAGAGTGAAAATGGCATTCGAAATTATTGTAGTTCTAATTGTTCTTGACGAGAATGCTTAAAGAATTAAGGTATTTGGCTTGCAGAGTTTTACCTTTTTGGGTTGAACAAATTGTCGAGAATACCTATCTTTTTCACTTGGATTGGGTTTGTCGCAAAGGAAGAATACAGAGAAAGTTTTTCGCGTTTCGGAGTGAATAGCAAGATTTTGATCGAAGTCGGCAATGTTTGTCAATTTTTCCATGGATACATGGACGGGCGTGCTAAAATATTAACACCGAATTCGACATTTCATGAATGATAATTTTGGGAATTAGTCAAGGTTGTGTTTTGCTAGAGCCTCGATATACTACAGATTTTTTATCAAAATAGAAAATTTAGCATACTTGTACAGAAAATCTCGTGTTCTTGTGTTATATGGTTATGTGCGTGTATGCAAATGTCGTGTCTTCATGTTTCAGTCAAGCGTGTCATGTTTTATTAAATCTATTTAATTAGTTAAAACCAGCGCAGGTTGTTCACTGTTGAAATAAACAGATCCCCTGTAGTTAAGAGTTAAAGTCCTGTGATCATAGGTGCTTTTAAAACAATAGGGTGTTTATAAAATCACAAAGGTTGTGTTTTCACTCGGCCGTTTTACTAGCGGAATATAATTCTTTCTGGTGTTTGTTTACAGAGCAACATTTACTAGTTAAAGGTGACTTCGTTTGTGAAATCAAACCCGAAGCCGCTAGCCGAGAAGATTCAAATTACAAAAGTGCATAACTTTTAAAAATGTCAGGAGATGAAGTGCTTTTACTTCTTAAGTAATGATTCTCACTATATTTAAGCAAATAACGCCCAGTTCAGACGCCGAACTTTTCATGAGCCGAACCCAATACGTTGAATTAAGTACATGAAAAGTTCGGCGTCTGAATCAGTTAAGAACGGCTAACTGAATTTAGAACGGCTCAGCTGTTCTTCCCGCCTAGTTCAGCCGGGAATTTCGGCTTTGGAACGGCTTTGACCAGACGTAGAACTTTTCATGTGCCGAACCTAATGTATACACCTTGCCTGAAAACTGCTGATGTTGCGATGTGTTTTGGTTCAAACTAAATTAAGTTCGGTGAATTAAGTTCGACGCCTGAATCAACAGGGGTACTTTTGATAATTTGGGTCAGTCCAAATTCGAATTAAGTTCGGCTCATGAAAAGGTCGGCGTCTGAACTGGGCTTAAGTTTCTTTCAGAAGATGCAAGGCTGAACTCATCTGCCATTTTACTTGGCGGAGGAGGGGGGGAGGGGTGGGGAGTTCCCCCAGAAAAATTGGGTGGGGGTATGTGGATCTCTTCCTAAAACCCTTACCCTATTTAGGGCCAAAATCTGTGGTTTTCCCTACCCTATTTATGACCTGACCATAAATTTTATACCCTATTTATGACTGTTCTAGATTTTCCCATCTAGACTGGCATCTAGATGGGTAATGTTGTGCAATGGAAAAGTTGCAAACTAAAATGAAAAAATATTGACTATTTTCTTCTAACAATATTTATTTATGGAAGTGCCAAAAAGGCTGATGAGAAAAGAAAAGTAAAGAGGATGAGCAGACTTTGGCAGAATTAAGTTCAGCCCATTGCCGTTCAAGAGCAAAATGTCAGCTGGTACAAACCAGTTACATTAACAGAATTAAATTTATCTTGTTTGCCATATAATAAACATCTTNGTTAATAAGAGCTAAGTATAGTTCTTAATAAATACTTCTTTACTGTATCTCACCCAATGGACCTAATAATGGTTACCTTATTCACTCAATTCAGAGCCACCCTGCAATAATTAACTGCTGCACATGAGAACAAAATATTAAAGAGCATTGCCTCTGAATGAACACTGCATTCATTCACAAAAATTTGGTGCTGTATTAAAGCATCATACTAAATTGTCGATTGAGAAGTCTAATAAAACACACAGTATAACACAACTCAACCTAAACCAGCCTTGGAAATTTATTTTCCAGAATTACAGTGTTTTCAGTTCAGATCTAGATTTTATTGTTATCATTTACTTGTTATCATTTACAAAAGTTTTGATCTTTTTAAAAGCTCTGGCCCTGAATAAGCACCATAATCAAAACAATAACTATTCCAAGAGCATCATAGCTCACATTCTAGTAAATAGTATTAGTAGCGTGCTTGACTGTAGATTAAGCAGTCCAAAGAGAGTGTTACCAGTGAGAGTAACTGTGTTGTGTTCTTGAGCAGGGCACTTGGCTCTCATATCATAGTGCTTCCCTTTACCCAGAAGACATTAGAAACACATTGCAAGGAATTAAATGCTGGGGTATACCAGCAATGGGCCAGCACCCTATCCAGGGAGGACCAGGAGTGGAATATTCATAGTCACTTCATGCGTCTGCAACTGGAGATAAGCTGGATGGACCAACATGCTTGAATGCAAACTTTATTTTGTATCACCCAGAAAATAAGGAGTCCCCAGGGACAAAGTCTTACATGACCATTTCCAAATATTTTTCAGATCTGTTTTAGCTCATCTCCCTCACTAACTTTCCTTGGGTCTCCATGGTTGAATAGTTGATGGCCTTCAGTGGGCTAAGAGAATTAACTTACTAACCTCTTCTAATCTTATTATAACCAAAGCACTTTTTACTTATTGAACATTTTTTCTCTTGGTTTCCTGACATAGAATGCCTCCTAAAACTCCAAGAACTGCAAGGCTCTGTCATAGAATGTTGTTCATGTAAACTGCGAACTCTGTTACCCCCCAATGGCGTTGATGGACTTGATAAAAACATGGACCTTTTGAGAGCCATTCTACAATCTGAGGAGGAGGAACAAAAATTGTGCAACTTCTGCATTCAGAAAGTTTATCCTCCCAAACCAGCAACATTTTACTGTTCCGAATGTGACATGTTAATGTGCGGTAGTTGTTCAGATGTTATTCACTCTCAATTGGAATTCCGTTGTCATGACATCGCTCGAGCAAGGACTGTTAAAGATGGGACAGGGGAGGTTCAAAGGTCGAAAGTCTCATCTCGATGTTCATCTAGCTCTTCAACGTTAAGTAAACGATCTTCCAGCATAAAGCCCGGGCTAAGCAGCAGGCCTTCCAGTGGTTTGTTGGACTATTCAGTAATACCAGGTAATTATAATGAATGCATCAAATACAACACAAAGTTGTTTGCCTTCTTCAGGGCTTGAAAAAATTAGTGCCATCCAGTCATCCTGGTCAAGTAGATTTTCCTGCTGGGCAAGTAACTTTCATTCTCACTTGGCTGGTGGGCAAGGGCTCAGGCAAGTTGTCTGCCAACTAAATCAAATAAGGAGATTAGGAGATTTATTACAATCTTAGTTGAGTCAAGCTAATTAATAAGCTTGAGCTGTTGATTAACCTTGTGGTATGTTGTTTCGTGTCTTGGAAACTTCAGAATGCCCTGTTCACAAGGAGGTGACAAAATTCTACTGCCGGAATTGTAGATGCCTGTGTTGTGCATCCTGTCACAAGTATGGCAGCCACAAAAACCATAGCTGCCTCCAAGTTCATGAGGCTGAAGAAAAGGAAAGAAAGGCACTTGTTAGATTACAAACACAAGTTGAACAGCATGGTGAAAAATTTATAAAGGCACGAGGAGAAGTGCAAAGAACTATTGAAGATGTTAAGAAAAATACTATAGAAGTAAAGGATATGGCCCGGAGATATTACAGGGAGCTACGAGCCGCCATTGATCAGGGAGAGAAAATTTTGATGGAAGATATTGACAAGAGGAGTGATGCAAAGCTGAAAGTTTTAAATGAACAGCTCAGGTAATATTTGATAATGAAGGTACAAATATCTATAACAGTGTCCGGGAGGTGGGTGGGGGGTGTGGAGTTTGTCCAGAGCAGCACTTCAAGCTCAACTATTCTATAATTCACCTTGCACAGCGAGAGAGGAGGGAGGTACCAGCTCCTTGGGCCTGTACCCCAGATCCATCTCTGTTTTCTTGTCGTCTCTTTCTTGTTGTTGTTGTTGTTTCTCTATTTTCCGCTGCAAAACAACTAGAAATCCGGCTTACTTCAGATGCAAACCTTAGTTTCGTAGTAAAATCAATAGAGTGATGTTAAAATTTTTTACTCAAAACCAAACTTACTGCAATTTTTACACGGGGGAGAATGTCTTTTTTTTTTTGCTTATAGTCAACTGATTGAAATCTCAAGCCTGACGACCACGGCTTGTAGAAACTGTGACAATGCTCTGAGTCTGGACTATTATGAAATGCTGATGCTTAAAAAAGATGTGGAAACAGAGATGATGGATGTCCTTGACCTGTTGTGTGAGATTACTCCTGTTGCTAAGCCGGACCTTGGCTGTCAGTTCCCTAATCATGAAAAACTCTTGGGCAACATTCGTAGCTGTGCCAAGCTTGTCCTACGTAAGTATCATGGCATGGCAGATTTCATTTCTCCAGTTAATTAAGAGCATATGGCCAACAACTGAGAGTTTTCAAAATTCTGTAGAAAAAACGTGATGACTGCCAAGCATAACTTGGACACGTTTTTTTAATGACTTCATCCGATCAACTTGATTTAGTAACTGTATTTGCTTTGTTAGTCTCTTAGTGTTTCAACAGATCTAGAATTCGTTCATAAACCACGTGCACCTTGTAACATGTTCAGTCTACTTTAACACTGAGGTCCGTCCACACTAAGCCGGAGAAATTATTTGAAAACGGAGTTATAACTCTGAAAATGCATCAAATGTTTTTCATACACACTTCGCCGGAGAAATTCAAAAACGCAAAAATCACCACCCTTTGCGTTTGAGGAAAACTCGGTCAGGGAACTCACGTGTTTAACGTAACGTCATCGTTTTCAAAAAGCTCCGTTTTCAAAATGTTTAATTTTCCGTCCACACTAATACGAAAATAAGAGTTTACTAAGACAGAGAAACACCAAAGAGGTAATGATAGACCACAAAGGAACAAGGATGGAGAAGATTAACACGGATTACAAACGACGAACTTGAAAAATCTAGGCTAAACTTTTCAAGATATGCAAACCGTAACGTGGCTCCTTTAATCTACAGCACCAGGTCCCCCAGAGAAGCTGACTTGCAGAATAACAAGGGACAACAATGTTCATGTGACATGGGATCCGCCAGAGGACAACTTGTTTCTGTATTCGGTGCTCGGTTACATTCTACAGAGCAGCTCTGGTAAGGGTGTGTGAGATAAAATTCCAGTTTAACTTGCTTTCAATGATACCAAAACGGCTTTTTCAACAAATTTGCGGCACCTGCAATCGTAGGCGAAAATTTAACTTTTCTTAGAAAGGGGAAGTAAAACTGACAATACTAGCAATACGGATGTTCTGAAATTGGACAAAGTCGGTACCAGCCACTAAAAATGGTAATTTGATTTTGTTCAGCCAAGTGCTTGAAAAACTATTTTAACATTTCTCACTTACACAACGGTTGTAAAGGCTCAGGCTCACTATAGTTTCTTGGATCAACTCAATCATTTAGGGCAATTCTTTGAACTGCCTGTTTTGTTTTGTTCTGTGTTATTTTATTATTTCCTCGATTCAGTGTGTCATTGTTATTTCATTCCAGGTCCAGATAACAGTTTTGTTACCATCTACAAAGGACACGAGACCTCACTGACAATAGACAAGACTACAGCGAACTTACCTGTTGGAAAACAAGTGCAGTTTCGTGCGTGTGCTATAAACCTGATTGGTGAGGGGCCATGGGGTTTTCCCTACGGAATCAAAATACCCGAGTGAAGGGTTTTCCTATACTACTGAAGTCTGCAAACAGTGCTTGGTCACGCCGATGTCAGAGCACTCAGACTTACGCGACGTTTTCCATGGTTTTCTTGCGCAAAGTAGCTATAACTGTTATCTACTAACTCTAGCCGCCGAAACTCTGGTTTCAGTGCTCAGTGCTAAGGCTCGACAAAAACCTGATGCGTTTTATTGTAAAGTAGAGCGATTTCCATTTGAGTGTCGTAAACTTACCAATAAGACTACTCAGCTAATTCAGTCAAACCATAGTTAAACCAAAACCAAACCCAAAGTAATTGCTAAGAACAATGACAGAATACAACAGCTTACCATCCAACATACACCAGTTCAAACCAGAGATCCCTTTCAAGCTAGCCATGCGGGTACATTTTAACATATTGAACAATTTTATTTTTTTTTTGTAAAAGCACCATGCACAGCACAGTATTACTTTGCATTATTTTAACTTGTACATGTAAATGTAAATTGCCTGATTACTTTCGACACTCATTTGAAAACCGCTTTAAGGAAGCATAAAATTGGTTTTACGTTTGGCTTAAGCATCGACTAAGCGAGCTATAGGCGGTAGGTAGAAACAAGCCGCAATTCAAGTTGTCTACGAGTTCACGAATTCACGTTCATGGATGAAAAAATAAGAAGAATATCCCTCCATCTTTACTTAGCTAGAGTTTGTTTTGAGCAGTTACGGTGTTTGAAATGAGTAACCTGAGGAATAGTAAACGGGAGTTTCGCGTGCGACTTCACGGGGATTTTGGAGACTAGAAACAGAGCGAGAAGAGATCTTTGTAAGAATGACCTCGTAGTGTAACAACCAAAAGCTAGGCTTTTATCAGCGTTTCCTTCCCAATAGAATTAGCGTGCATGCAAAACAAACAAACGAACAAACAAACAATCGAGTATTTATTGTAAAGTTGTAATGTGTTGATATTGATAAGCTATGGAATTTTGAAATAGTGAAATATGATTTAGATTAACAATACGTATTATTACTAAGTTCTCGAGGATAAGAGAAGTTTAATTTCACATGAAGATTAACTATCTATGACGTCAGCGTGATAACTGTAAATAGTTTTTGCTGACTGAATGAATGTAGATGTATCAAATGATTGTTCGTGGCCAGTGCTCGACTTTTTTTTTGACGGGGGTGGGGGAAGGGGAGCTGGGCAATGTCCCAAAAAAATTCCTGCACAACGAAAACTGCGAAAAAAATCGTGAAAGGGAGCGATAGAGGAAAAATATTCGAGCAAGTGCTTTCTACCAACCAGGTCCTTATTGCAAAAGCTTTTGCCCACCAAAATAAATCATGCACAAGAACCTGAAGTGAGACCCAGAAAATTTCCCACCCCTCCCCTCCTTAAAAAATAATGGTCTGTCCCGAGCTTTCTCGGCTGCAAAAAATGTTGCCCCTTATTTGCTCTTATTCACGATACGAATATGATCAAGAACATACCGTATACCGTATAGTGTTTAAAAATGACGTCACGCCATTCCTGTCGGCTCGGGGAGCTACTCCCAAAAACTCTGGTGGGGATGTGGAAATCTATACCCTGTTTCAGTCCTGTCTAAGGGCCTGTTTACAAGGAGGGAGGGTTACTCTAGAAAGCGGGTTAACCCTAGCTGCAGGGCAAAAGATAGCTCGGGTTTACAAGCAAAATTTCACAGGTAGATAACCTTACAACCCGGGACAACTTAATGTGCGGTTACGCTCAAAGGGTCTGGAAACAATCAGAAAGTTAACTCGGGCAGGCGGGTTAACCCTACCTAGAGTGTTTACAAGGGAAAAAGTTAACCCGCCTGCCAGGGTAACCCTAGCAGCCTTGTAAACACGATGAAGAAAAAAAAGAGGAAATGTGTGAGTGCTAGGGTAACTCGCTTGCTAGGGTAACCCTCTCTCCTTGTAAACAGGCCCTTATAATTAGTTACCTTGTTCAGACCGATGCTAAAAGCATTGTGAAGGGGTTTTGTTGATCGTCTTATATTCAAGAAATAGAAAACATGTACCGTGTTTCTATCGAGTTATAGAAACACGAGTGGAAGTTTGGGAGAACGAGAAATGCTGTGGGAACACGAGCCGC